TTTTAAACGTTGGAACCTCATTTAATTTTATGTCTTATAGAGTTTATAATGAGTAAAAGATTATATAAGCGTAATAATTCATCTGTAAACCTAGAAATGTACAGCCAATTTTGAAAGAGATGTACCCTAGCTCAGAAAAATGTTATTGAATAGGTTAATGCTGTTGTAATGAAACGCTTCTTCTAATTAAAAAAAATATATTTTATTGAAAAAAAAATGCAAGTTTAAAGCAGCCACATAATATGTAGTTAGGAAGCTGGCTGAGGCAGAGTGTCAGGATTTGAATAAATACCTGTGTGGATCTCTCAAAATAAATAAATAAATAAATAAATAAATAAAGACTTGGGTAAAGAGGAAAAAACCTAAAGGATTCCCACCAGTAAAGAAATCAAGCAACACTCAGGGACAGGAAACACGGAGGCAGGGACTGTTCGTTTCTCCTGTGGGTAAAATAGAAGGGGCTGGATATAAAGACGGGGTCCACATGGCCTTAAGTGTTATGAGAATAAGAACAGCAGCCTGAAGTCCTTCCCAAAAGCCCAAAATCCACTCCCAAGACAAGCACTGCTCGCCACTGGACCACGTTTCACTTGCAAATATTAGGCAAAGAGCTGGAATGTGTTGGGAAACAAGCATGAATCCCTAATGTGCCCTCCACAGGGATCATGAAACTACCCCATAGGTCCTTTCTACTCTGAAAAAGCCTTAATTTGTCTAACACCATGTGAACCTGACAGGCATAAAGCTTCAAGGGACAGAATTTCTTAGGGTGAATTCACCAAGGATACCAATGGGGTGAGGAGCTAAAGCTGATTCTCAGGGATAAACTACCCCCCTCCCATCTCTCATGTTAATTTTCCCTGTGTCTTAGTTTCTTTTTCTGTGATTATGATAAAATACCCTGAACAAAAGCAACTTAGAAGGAAAAAAGGGTTTGTTCTGGCTCACAGTACCAGGGTACAGGCCATCATTACAGGAAGGTCAAGACAACAGGAGACTGAGGAAGCTGGTCAAATTACATCCAGTCAGGAGAAAGTAAAAACTGCATGCTCAGTTCTTTCTCCACTCTAATACCATCCAGGACTTGCTGCCCAGGGAATGATCCTGCCCACAGAGAGTAGGTCTTCCCACCTCAATGAACATCATCAGGCACTCTCAGAGGCCATCTCCCATATGATTCTAAATCCTGTTGACCATGAACACTACCGGTAACACCTTGGAAACAGTTAATACCTCAACTGCTTATTCAAAGTGTGCTGTGGCCAGATGTGGCACATGCCTGTAATCCCAGCACTAGGGAGGTAAAGACAGGATGATTATAAATAGAAGACCAGCCTGGGCCACACAACACACTCCATGCCAGGCTACAGACCCTGCCCCTCAAAACTGGAGAAATGTACTATAGATATAAATTTGAGCACCTGGAGGATGGGCCAGCTAGTAATCTTGGATGCCGGGGTCTGTTAGTTTCCAGTCTTTCAAACTTAAGCAGTATGTTTTGTTTTTTTTTTAATTTTGTTTATTTTTATTTTATGTGTATGTATATATTGCCTACACATAGATAAGTGCACCTGTGTCATGCAATGCCAGCAGGGGTAAGAAGAGGCTGTCAGATCCCCTGGAACTGGAATTAGAGACAGTTGTTAGCTGCCATGTGGGTGCTAGTATTCAAACCCAGGTCTTCTGCAAGAACAACCAGTGTTCTTAACCACTGAACCATCTCTCCAGCCCCTCAAGCTTAAGCAGTATGCTTTTTTAAAAAAAAATTTTTATTGTATGTGTATGAGTGTATTGCCTGCATGTATCTAAGTGCACCCATGTCATGCAGTGCCTGCAGAGATCAGAAGTGGGCATCAGAGCCACTGGAACTGGAGTTACAGATGGTTATTAGCCACCATGTGGGTGCTGGGAATCGCATCTGGGTCCTCTGCAAGAGTAGACAGTGCTCTTAACCTCTGAGCCATCTCTCCAATCTAAGCAGTATGCTTTTTTTTTTTTTTTGGTCTTTTTGAGACAGGGTCTCCCTGTAGCCCCAGCTGTCCTGGAACTCACTATGTAGACCAGGCTGGCCTTGAACTCAGAGATCTGCCTGCCTCTGCCTGCTGAGTGCTGGGATTAAAGGCATGCGCCACCAAGCCCAGCAGCAGTATGCTTTTATGAAGTATTAAAAACACTTCTGTGTGAAGCAAGTCAAAAAGCCCACTCCTTGGGTTGAGCTGTGTGCATCTGTGTGGCCTTATATGGGCAGGAAGGGTCGCTAGGCACAATCAACAGAGCCAGAAGGTTCTTTTCTTAGATGTGGGCAAACTTTAATTGCAAAGCCTTCATGTACAGCATGTTCAGCATGTTCAGCAACAAACAAGCAGGGGAGCTGCTGGCTTTCAGAACACTTAAACATCCTTTGCAATTCAGCGGGTCAAACACATTCCACAAGGGAAACAGCCTTTCTCATCTCTCTGAAGATTGCTTAACATTTTAAAGGAAGATTAGGCATACTTGGAAATTCAAGGAGGTGAAAACCTTTTCCATACTTTTAGGCAAATACATATAGGCAATTCTACTTGATAAAGCAAGACATGAGGCTGGGGCAGGACACTGACTAAAAAGAAGGGTGCTGCAGTGCCAAACAAATCAGTCCCCGTCTAACAGAGGAGACACAACCCTACAGTCCAGGACATGTCCCCAGGTAGCAAGTATCTGCTCCCACTATGTGGTAGTCTCAATTTAGCCCACAAGAAAATCCTTGACTAGCAAATTCAAATGTCACTGAATTCTGGGACAGAGAAATTCTTACAACACATACTAAGCTAAGTGCTCCCGATTAATTAATTGGAGCAGTTACTATTGTTCCCATAAGGGTTTGTTCTATGTACTGGAATGGCTTAAGAAAAGTATTACCTAAGTTTGATTTTATTTTATAATTTCAAGAGACAGGGGAACAGAAGAAAAATGTGACTGATTGCCAGCTTTGGGGTCAAGCATGTATAAAACCAGACTCTGGGGACTCAAGGTCCCGTCTATATTTTGGGGAAAGACTAAGGGAGCCCATTACAACCAACCCCTACCAAAAGAATACTACAGCTACACTGCTCAGTGCTCTAGCTAGTGAATGTTTCAAATAATAGAGGGTTTCAACTTAACATCTAATTGTAAAATGTGGTATTTTGACAATAAACAGGTTCAAGGAGCACATCCTGGAAGAGAAATTATAGAAGGATTATTCAGGCGGCTGCAGATTCCCACTGCCGCTCCCACCTCTGCCACACTAGGCTCAGGCAGACACATAAGGTGGGGGTGGCTCCTTGGCAGTGCCAGTCACAGCAGTGGCATCATCATATGGGGGCAACAGCACCTGAAAGAGAAGGGAGAACCCAGAGTCAGTGTTTAAAAGTAGACACACTCCCTGACCCTTAACTTTAATTAACATTCATGCAATTAAACTCTTTCATAACCAGTACCAAGTTCAATTTCTCACTAAGTAGATACACTTAATGAGATTCTGAAAACTAAGCAACTGGGGAATGACTTTTAGCGCCTCTGCATTTTCCTGGCACTTCCTACAAATGTCTGCAAGGGACTGTGTATAGGAATAAGAAGGTACAATGGTTCCGAAGAGACTCCCAGGTGTGTGTGTGCACGCGTGCGTGTACTTATACACAAGGGCAGACACTGGGTTGCCTACAGAAACTCTGCGTGACAGTGGAGACTTTAACCAGACTCAAAGCCTGGCTGAGCCACAGTTTATCAGCATACCTATCCTTGGACAAATTTTTTACCCTCATATCTCTAAAGCAGGGAGATCTGGATCCCGGCAGTCTATAAAACACCCAGTGTTCTGCTTGGCATGCACCTGAGGGGTCAAGTGTTAATTATAAATGTCTGGAGAGGAACAAACAAGAACAAGTGCTGATAGACAGATAACCTCTGTGCTTACACTTCAAGTACAAAAACAAAATTACTTGTGGTTGTTCAGGAACTGTTAGAACATTGGGTTATGTTGGCTTCCTTAGAGTAGGAAAAAAACAGAATCATCAACTTGATATGCTCACTTTCTGTACAGTCAAATGAATATTTATTGTGCATGGACCATGTGATTTTATTATAGGTACAAGAAAAGACAGTCCCTGTCCTTTAAGAGTTTCAGAGATTAGGGCTAGAGAGATGGCTCAGTGGTTAAAAAAGCACTGGCTGCTCTTGTAGAGGACCCAGGTTCAGTTTTCAGCATTCACATGGGGGCTAACAACTGTCTGTAACTACAATTCCAGTGGATTCAATGCCCTCTTCAGGCTTCCATGCTTCCATGGGTATTAAATCCATGCAGGCAAAACATTCATACACATAAAACTTAAAAAAAAAAAAAAAAAAAGTTCAGAGATGGGAAGATGAAATGAAATCTTATTTCCCTGAAGTGCTACATGGAAAGAGAACCATTATTAACAGATAAAAATCACACTTCATATTTTCTACATAGATTCCACTTAGAGTTACAAGAGTAAATATCCACCTATGTCATGAAGGAACAACACTAAAACCTGTTAAGTTTGTCACCTCCTGTTCTCCTTACCACACATACACAATACTTCTGACCTCTTTCTAGCTTAACATATTTCTTCATTTTTCTTTCTTCTCCTCTTGGAGCTGTAGCTATCTTACCTCACTCAAGAGTGGCGCTTAGCACCACTTGATCATGGGACTCGGGACATGTAAATGATATGCATCATTCATGCTGCCCCGCCCCTAAGAGCCTGTGTGGTTCCACAGTGATTAGATCGCCTAAAGCAGAGGTCTTCTGTACCACAGCAATGTGAACAAAGAAGGTGTAGTGAATTACCAAAGAGAGATTAGAGGAATAAGGACCTAATTAGAAAGGTATGGCTGGGTGAGGTGATACCTGTCTTTAATCCCAGCACTCTTGGAGGCAAATGGTGGCTTTCTGGGAGTTTGAGGCCAGCTTGGTATACATAGTGAGTTCTGGGCCAACTGGGGTTACATATTGAAACCATGTCTCCAAAATGTAAATAAATAAATAAATAAATAAATAAATAAATAAATAAATATAAATAAATAAAACAAAAGCAGATAGAGGGCACCTGGTGAAACAGGGTACAGCTTGTCCACTATTAGCAGGGTAAGGTTAGTGTGAGACTGCCCTGCTCAGATGTTGCTAATGCTTAAGAAGCAGTGGGAGGGGCTGGAGAGATGGCTCAGCAGTTAAGAACACTGATTGTTCTTGCAGAAGACCCGGGTTTGAATCCCAGAACCCACATGGCAGCTAACAACTGTCCATAACTCCAGTTCCGGGGATCCGATGGCCTCTTCTGACTCCCATGGGCATTGCACACCACAGGTGCACTTACCTACATGCAGGCAATACACATAAAAATAAAAATAGCTGGGCATGGTGGTGCACGCCTTTAATCCCAACACTTAGGAGGCAGAGGCAGGCAGAGCTCTGTGAGTTCAAGGCCAGCCTGGTCTACATAGTGAGTTCCAGGAAGCTGGGGCTGCAGGGAGACCCTGTCTCAATAAAACCAAAAATAATAAATTAAAAAAAAAAAAAAAAAAGCAGTGGGAGCTTGGGGTAAGCCTGTCATGACAAAATGCTATGCTGTCCCTACTTCCTACTAAGACTTAGGGATGGTACCAACAAGACCCAGATACCCTGTAGGAGCACACAGGAACAACCAGGATGGCTTTTCTCCTCCGGTATATTTACTGACTGGCACAGCTCACAAACATCAGCCAAGAAGGGACAAATAACTGGCAATGTCTAACTCCAGTCAGACTATCAGAACAACTGTAGAACTGCAATGTAGCAAGGAGACACCTGACACAGCATTTCATAAGCAACTGTTCCCGTCAGCTTTGTGTCCTTGTCTCCAGAAGGGGAATAATACTGTTCTTATAGTCTAACTATTTAATGTATTACTCAAGGGACAGAGTGTAGCACAAATGTTCAACTGCTGCTCTTGCTGACAGTGACAGATGCACCTGAGATGCACTTGTGTGCATTTTACTAATCTAAGTGAGGCAAGGAGGCACCCGCAGGGCTCCCCTCCCATAGGAGCCAGCCACTCTCCACTGGACCAGCCCACAACACACTGAACACCTGAGTGCTCATGGCACTCAGCCATCAGCTATAACATAAGCCCAACTGCTATGGAACTTAAGGTCTAGTTGGGGCAAAATGTGAAAGGATGTTCAAAACCAGAGAGGGACAACCAGTGTAGCTCAGAAGGAGGCAAGGAGATAGTGAAAAGGATACTGTTTCTCGTGGAGAGGTGAGCACACATTCAGGGTAGGGAAGAAGTCAGGACAGTAAAGTACTTTCTAGGAACTGTGAGAGGCAGGCCAATATGTACTTATGGAAGACTTGGCCTGGAAGACAAGCAAGGATCTGCACAGGTGACTGTGGGCCTGAGCCTGCAGTGCACACACATACTCATGTACTATCTAGGGAATCATGACAAGTAGAGGCAGCCCTCCACCAACTATTAAATGTCAAATGACTGGGCTTCAGCATGCTTCTACAACTACCTTCTTAAACAATTAACCAATTCATACCTATCATTATCTTTGTAGAAATCTTAAAAACACTATGAAGCCAGGCCAGGCATGGTGATGCAGGTCTTTAGTCCCAGCACTCAGGAGGCAGAGGCATGTGGATCTCTGTGAGTTCAAGGCCAGCCTGGTCTACATAGTGGGTTCCAGGACAGCTGGGACTACAGGGAACCCTGTCTCAAAAAAGATTGGAAAAAAAGAAAAAAGATTTTGAAAAGTTGAGCTATTCACAAGGAATGATGCACCCCAAATTTCCAAATACATATCCTGCTTCAAACAAAAGTTGCTGCTAATAAGCAGCAGGTACTCAAGAAATGTGCATGCACATACATCTATCTGTGCATAACAACCACAACTATGAACCACTTAACTCTACATAACATTCAATACAAACTTCTTACACACATACACACACCAAAAAAAAAAAACAACTGGGGACACACTTTGAGTTCAGTGAGAGACCTTGTCTCAAAAAAAAGGTGGAGAGACCGAGGACACCTGATGTCGACCTCTGGCTTGAATATTCACATACATGCACACAACGCACACATGTGCACACACAACATCACACAGACAATAAATCAAATTTGGGAAACTAATTCTCTTCATCAGATAATAATAAAATGCTCAAAAGAAAGCGCTATAGCTATGTCAGGCTCAACAGTAAAGATATATTCAAAAAAGTACCACTAGGCAACTTTATCCTATGTGAACATCACAGAGGGTACTTACACAACTAAGATGGATGACTACATCAACACCAAGCAATGTAATTATGGGGGCCTACCATAGAATATAGTTTGTTCTAGACAGAAATATTGTTATCTAACACATTGACTAATTTCCTGGTAAAACTGGGAAATGGTGGGGTTTTTTTTTTTTGGTCTGTTTTGTTTTTTGGTCTTTTTGAGACAGGGTCTCTCTGTAGTACATTGACTAATTTCCTGGTAAAACTGGGAAATGGTGGGGTTTTTTTTTTTTTTTGGTCTGTTTTGTTTTGTTTTTTGGTCTTTTTGAGACAGGGTCTCTCTGTAGCCTCTGCTGGCCTGGAACTCACAGAGATCCATCTACCTCTGCCTCCCAAGTGCTGAGTTAAAATTAAAGGCATGCACCACCATGCCCAGCCTAAAACTGGAAAATGTTCATAGACACTAGGGTTACATCTGGACTTGAACTGTAACTTTAATTAACCAGTCAAGGTTTGTTTGCAATTCTACAGCTGTTAGGATTACATTCCTAAAGGAATTACGTACAAGCCACATAAATGACTTCAGTTTCAAAAATGTATCATAAAACATTAAAAGATATGCTAATTGCCCTGGTTAGCTTTCACTGTCAACTTGACATAGCCTAGAGTCACCTGAGAAGGGAGTCAATCGAGAGATTGCTTAGATCAGACTAACTTTGTGGGCATGTCTGTGTGGACTGTCTTGATTGTAAATTTACGTAGTAGGGCCCAGCTCACTGTGGGTGGCACCATTTCCTGGGCCGGTAGTTCTGGGCTGTATAAGAAAACTAGCTAAACTTAAGCCTTCGAGTGAGCCAACAAGCAGCATCCTCCATGGCTTCTGCTTCAAGTTCCTGCCCTGACATCCCTCAATGATGAACTGTATCCTGTAAAATGAAAAAAATCCTTTCCTCCCCTAAGTTGCCTTTGATCTGAGTGTTTTATCACAATAAAGATGAAACTACAACCCTGGTCATGTGCATAGATCCACAAATGAACTGCAAAGAGCCTATAAATCTCCTAAAACTGAATGCCAAATTTGATGTTCATTTATTTTCCTGGGT